CCTATGCCGGGGGTCCAAGGGGGCGCTGCCCCCTGGCAGGGTTCGACCTGACCGGTCAGGTCGCGGGGTCAAGGGGCAGCGCCCCTGCGGGGATTTCCGAGGACAGCGCCCTCGGAACAAATTTTTATTGTAAGAGTTGCTTTAAAGTTTTCTCTACCTTCTCGGCACTGCTTGGTACCATTCGGTACCCCTTTGTACCGAGCAGTACTGAGCGGTACCGAGTGGTACCGAGTGGTACTAAGTTCTAGTATCGCTCGGTACCGAGCGGTACCAAGCAGTACAGAGCAGTACCAAGCGATACTGAGTACTGAGCAGTACTGAGTTCTAGTATCGCTCGGTACCGAGCAGTACTGAGTTCTAGTATCGCTCGGTATCGAGCGGTACCGAACAATACTGAGCAGTACCGAGCAATACCGAGTACTGAACAGTACCGAGTACCAAGTGATATGCGTGTCCGATACGTGTGTCCGATCTAATTTAAATAATATTTTAATTGGACACGGCAAAGCCGTATTCGACACGTATTCGTGCCGTATCGGAGGCATATCCGTATCCGACACGTGTTCGATACAGCATGCCTCATAAATAGATGTATCCGTGCATCATAGCAATCCACTGATTTTAGGTTGTTTTCATCACGTTCTTGTGTGTTTTCTTGCTATTTTTATCAATTATTGCTAGGGTTGCTTGCGAACTTAAGTATTTCCTCTTGGATTACTTGCGAACTCAAGTATTTCCTATCAGTTTTCAATCACATGTAAGCGACTTAGTTACCAGCGCACCCTTATTTCAGTTAATTGCTTATTTTTATTGATTAGACTTTAGTATTACACTTGACTGACTAATTATTGTTTGATCTTTAGCCATTGCTTGATTAATCTGTTACCAATGTTATTGTTACACAATCTACGGGATTAACCTATTAATCACATGTTCTCTTTTGTGTAAATCCTTCATTGAATATATTTTTCGACCATGTAGGGGATAACATCCTTTCATTGCCTGGCTTTTACACAAAAGAAGTTAGCTGCAGGGTCACCACTGGATATAGTAAGAGAAGCCCAAATGCTTACTGGAGTAAAGAACTACATGTGTAGAAAATACGATAGAAATTGTCAGGAGTCCCAGGACCAAGAGCCATTGAATGGATAGGTAGCATAAGTCTCGCAGCGGCATCTTCTACACTAGCTCTTATGATTCATGTTTTCAAATTTTATAGAATTGCCAAGAAAAAATCATAAAGTTAATGGTTATTTGAGTATGGGAACCCAAACCTCAGGGACTCACAAGTACTTTATACTTTATCAGATCTATTGCTCAAATATTCTCCTTACGAGAGTCGAGTGCATTACAGGACACATTTTCAACTGTTTGTTGTGTTATGATCTCAAGGTATGGTTAATAATTGATTCATTTATTTGCAATATCAGTTCTATGACATGTCATTGGAACTGATTATTTGTTATTGAGCTAAATGTGTTTACTCATATAATCTAATTAAGTTGTGCTGTCTGTTAGCATGTTTTGGTAAGCGGTACCTTTCCAACTCTTAACTGTCAAAATTTGTTTAAAATAGGAAGAAGGGATGGAGGTTGTCACCAAAGTTCTGCATCGATATACAGCTGAAAAGCTGTCATCCTTTGGCGAGCTGGCACTAATGTGAGATATCTTAATTTTATTCTTTCAATTGCTAATATTATGTATGATCTCCATGCTCGAACACTCTATCTATGTACTGAAATCCCCATGGCTCTCTAGCACATGTACTAAAATTATGTTCCAGCTTATTTCTGTTTTTGTATGACTATATTTAGTTTCAGCACTGAGATAAAAAGGCAAAGGACATCAAGGTGGTTTGGTCGGAGATTTAGGCTTCGTTTGTGATGGCTTTCTTATTGCTTCTTAAAGCAACTTTCTAATACAAAAAAATTATTTTTTTTAATAGAAAATTATTTTAAGAAACAGTAAGAAACCGTCCCAAACAAAGTCTTAGTCAAGACAGGGAAATCTATCGCTCTTTATTCTAATGAACACAAGTACCAAACACCTTTTTTTATTTTTATTTTGTAAACACATCAAATAGTCAAACTGTATTTTACCATGTTGAACATGTAGACATGTTAATAAAAGGTAAAATGATTCATGCAAAAATGTGCGTCTTCAATTAAAGTACAAATCTGAATATGCCTTAATTTTTCTTCGGTAATGTCTATAGTAATTATACATGCTTTTCTCTAGCTTGGCCAGAGGAAATTCGTTGCGATGCTTGCGACGGGGCGAGTAATCTCCTAAAACCCCATTTTCGGCGTTAACATCGCGTCGGAAAACCATGCATGCTTTTCTCTAGCATGGTGGGAAGGGGATCCGGTGCGACGCCTGTGGCGAGGCGGAGTCAAATATAAAATTGCGCATTTTCGAACAGGTACCCGAAGACCATGCACGTCTTTCTCTGACGTGGTGGGGGATATAAATTATGGCTATGGTGTCGTATGACACTAGCCGAGCACGCTTTTCTCTAGTGTGGTGGGAGGCCCAGTTTCCTGTAGTTTTTCCTAAATGGGGGAGACGCCGGGAGGCTGTCAAAATTTTTTCTGAAAAAGACAAGGACATGAAGAAATTTTGGACCATAAGGACTTGTATTTGAATGCAGATCAAATGACTAAAAAGGCTTGAACTTAAATAAATGAAATTTAATGAACTAAGCCTGAACCATATGCAAGGAACTCAAACTCAAATGATCTAAGTGCAGTGAACTTGAACTTAATTCAAACTCAAATAAGCAGTAAAATTTTGGATAGTAGGGGACTCGAACGAATGGAAGAGGTTTATCATGAACCTGAACTATACTTGCACACCGAACTTGTGGACTTTTGAACAACAGAGGACTTGATTGGAAAAGACCAGAATGAGCTTGAACTTGACTTAAACCTAGACTTAAACATCGAGTCTAAATAAAGTACGAAGTGACATAGAATTCAAGCGACTAATAAAGAGCTGAATTTTGAATCATTAAATGCTTGGTCAAACATGCATTTGCTTGATGACAATCATGATTGTTCAAACAAGGATCGATCAAAACACTTATGGCTCTCTCACAAGCAGCAATGCAAAGATCTTCAAATGAACATTAAAATAACCACTTTGATATTTTAAATGCATTCAAGCAGATATTATGCAAGAAAATAAAGGTTTATGCATAAGTTGATCATGGATCTTAGCATGGAGTTTTTGGATGACTATACTTGACTTGTAAGAGTCATGTGAGTTGAAATAAAATATTAAGGAGCATGATATGAAAATCATCATGCACATGGCAAATCCTCTTTGAAGATCAGGAGTTTGTAAGTGGAACTTGTTTGCAAGAAACGAAAGGATTGTAAAGGATATGATTTGGTCACAAAGTTGGGACTGCTTTGCCTGGATATATACTAAGATGCCTGACTTATCCCCTGATGTAGCAGTTCACAAACTAGCCATTAAACCTGATGCAACTCCCATCAAGCAAGCTACAAGGAGAATGAGATTGGAGATTGAAGAGCAGGTGATTACATAGACGAAGAAGCTCATAGATGCAAGTGTTATTCGTGAAGAAAAGTATGCTGATTGGATCTCCAATATTGTCCCCGTCAAAAAGAAGGACAGATTCGTATCTGTATCGACTTTTAGGACCTCAACAAGACGTGTCCGAAAGATAATTTTCCATTCCCCATATCTAAACTCCTGGTGGAAAAAACTTCCAATTATGATATGTTCTCTTTCATGGACGGGTCATTGGATTACAATCAAATCAAATGGCGTCTGAGGATGAAAAGCACACATGGTTCAGGACGCCCATGACATTTTCTGCTATACAGTCATGCCCTTTGGCCTGAAGAATGCGGGTGCAACCTATCAACGAGCAATGACATATATATTTGATGAGCTAATATATCAAAACGTCGAGTGCTATGTGGACGACCTTGTTGTCAAGAGCATGAAACGAAGAGACCACCTGGATGACTTAAGCATTGTATTTGAAAGGATCTGGAAGTATGATATGAAGATGAATCATCTCAGGTGTGCTTTTGGGGTTTCCTCTGGCAAATTCTTGGGATACGTTGTTTGACACCGATGTATCGAGATCGACCCCAATTAGATCAAATCAATTATGGAGATATCGCATCCTAGAAATCTCTGCCAACTTCGTTCTTTGCAAGAACAATTGGCTTTCATTCTGTGATTCATATCGAATCTGTTGGGTAGGTGCCAGCCCTTTTACAAATTAATGAAGAAAAAAACTCATTTCATGTGGGATGAAGAGTATCAGGAAGCATTCGATAGTTTCAAAAGATATTTGTTAAATCCACCAATTCTCATAACGCCAATTTCGGGGAAGCCTCTTATACTGTACATGACAGTACTAAAAGAGTCTCTCGGAGCATTATTGGCCCAACACAATGATGAAGGCAAGGAGAATTCACTATACTACATCAGTTGGAGGTTAATCGGGGCAGAAATCCGCTATTTCCTGATTGAAAAGCATTGTTTGGCATTGATCTTTGCAGTTTAGAAATTCCACCACTATATGTTGTCACATAAAATCACCTTGATATCAAAGATCGATTTGCTAAAGTTCTTGGTGACAAGATTAGTGTTGACAGGTCGTTTAGCCAGGTGGGCAATACTGCTCCTGCAATTTGATATCACATACATCACACAGAAAGAAATGAAAGGGCAGGTGTTAGCAGACTTCTTTGCAGCACATTCTATCATGGCAGATTCTCTGTTAAATGATGATTTGCCCGACGAGCAAATCATGCAAGTCCAGGAGAATGAAAAGTTACCATTCTGAGAGATGTACTTCGATGAGGCATCGTCGATTAAATCTACTCGACCTCTAAATCTTGCAATGGCCCGAGCCGGCATTGATCTCTTTTTTATAGCACCTGAGGGAAGCATAATGATATTTTCATTCAGTCTGACTGAACCTCGGACCAATAATGAAGCTGAATATGAATCTTTAATAGCAGGGCTGAAATTTGTGATCGATGTTATAATCCAAAAACTCCAAATCTTTGGTGATTCTCAACTTGTAATAAATTAGGTTCTCGATATTACAAGGTTAGCAAAGTTGAATTGGCCCATTACCATCGGTGAGCCCTCGAGCTTATGATGCAAGTACTAAATGTCGAATAGCTCGAGTTCTTCGAGGGACAGAATGCCAAAGTAGATTGTCTTGACAAATTAGCTAAGGAAATGATGAACATAAATAAGGAGAGGCCTATATTCATTGGACTTTACACCCATAGGGTCTTGGAGCCCACTCTATTATAATTCCCAAGGGCAGAAGAAGTATCAGATTTAAGCCAGCAAGATATAATTCCAGTTGACCCTCTACCTCTCCATCAGATCGTTATGGAGAATTATCCAGAAGAATATCATGTAGCCAAGAGACGTAAAGCTAGTCAAGCTTTAGCATCATGGTTGCATTTCCTCGATGTCAAGGAGGGAGATGATTGGAGGCAACCCTTCATCGACTATTTCAAAGAAAGCAAACTCCCAAAGGATAAATCTATAGCTGCACAAATTAAAAAGAGGGCATTGCGATATACATTTGTCAATGACACGTTGTATAGACGAGCTTTTGATCAAATGTGGCTAAGATGCCTAGGGATCAAGGAAGACGATAAAATAGTGATAGAAGTCCATTAGTCCATGAAGGACTTTGTGTTGCACATCAATCAGGTCTTAAAATGATCGTTAAAATAAAGAGAATATGTTACTATTGGCTAACTATGATCAGAGATTATATTGACCATGTAAAGAGGTGCAACGAATGTCAAATCCATTGTGATGTTATACATCAACCACCAAATCCTCTGCACCCAACAGTAGCATCCTGGCCATTTGAATGCTGGGGCACAGATATAATCGGACCAATAGATCCTCCATCATCAGCAGTATATCAATTTATTTTGGCAGCAACAAACTACTTCTTGAAGTGGGCAGAAGTAGCTGCATTGAAAGAAGTTACATCCGAGCATGTGATCAACTTCTTTTCCTACAACATCGTTTACAAATTTGGTGTGCCCCGTCGCATAATCTCAAATAACGGTACTGCATTCAAAAGTACAAAAAATTTACAAGCTCATTAATCGGCACAAGATCGATTAGAAGTATTTATCAATATACAATCCAAAAGCGAATGGCTTGGCGGAGGCCTTCAACTAGACGCTGGTGAAATTATTGAAGAAGATTATCACCAAGAATAAAAAGGAGTGGCATACGAAGATGGCAGAAGCACTATGAGTATACCGTACAACCTACAAGACTCTAATCAAAGCCACTCCTTATTCACTAGTATTTGGAGTTGAAGCAATATTGTCACTGAAAGTTGAATTACCATCGCTACGGGTAGCAATCAAGAACGATCTCACTCAAGAACATAATGCTTGTTTAATAATTAAAGAGTTTGATGCACTCGATGAGACCAGACTACAAGGTCAAGAAAACTAGAAAATCTACCGAGGAATAATGGCAAAATCCTTCGATCAGATGGTGCATTTTGAGCATTTCAAGAAAGAGAATTAGTCCTGATATTGAGAAGATGAATCATCCCACACTAAAAAATTGGTGGCAAATTCATATCAAATTGAGAAGGCCCCTTTGTCATCAAGAAG